TAACATCCACACGCCATGTAACATCCACACGCCATGTAACATCCACATGCCATGTAACATCCACATGCCATGTAACATCCATATGTAATGGTTGCATGACCATTACTTGGCATGACAAAGGCACTAAGCTACATTCACAAGACAATTAACATTCTCGATTTTTTCATTTAACTTGTAATATCACCACGGCAAATAATATTCACGAGGAAAAGAAATAGCCACAATGAAAATAACTGTTATCAATCAAAAACAACATTGTCAGAGTATGTCCACAAATTCAATTATTTTTAACAGGACATGTATTATCATCAAAATTAGCATCATCCATATTTCACACAGCATACACATGACAGTCAATATCCTCACGCTACATAATACTTTTTCCTAATCTGCAATTCTGATAGAGTAATAAAAAGTTACATGTTACAGCATAATTGAATGTCTCAAAACAAAAAAGCTGAGTTTTAATACTTGTACCCGACGACAGAGTTCGCAAGTACTGCTGGATTGTAGTTTAAGAAATAGCCTTATTCTAGCTTTCAGAAGATGTATGATTATTGAATTTAATTGTCATTTTTTCAGTTAAATGCATATATTCATTTAGATTGCAGCTTAATTCACCTTTTAAACAAAATTTCGTTATAACTGCATTGTTTAAATTATTTGGTAATGGCAACTTCGCGTAATTCAAACGCGGATGCGATTTACCGTAGAGTATCAACGAAAAATTATCGTGCCACACAGTGGTTGCCAGATTTTATTATTATTATTATTATATTATTATTATTATTATTATTATTATTATTATTATTATTATTACTTTCTACCATAGACGTGGCCACACATTTACAATGCTAACCAGCATATATCCATTTCCTTCTGTCCTCCATGGACAGGGTTAGAGAAGTGTTAAACATATAGTTCAAGGGTTTATTGAACAATCAACCACAGAAGGTGATTCGGTGCTTTTAAAATGCTACGCTAACCTACATACGTAAATACATAGATACACAGATTTACGTATGCCCTACATAAAGTGTTCGATGTGTCTTTTACATATTGTCATTAATGAGCATTTACAAAGATGAAATGTAATTCTGATCAGCTTCCATATATATACTTTATACACATACATATACATACACACACAAAAATATACGTACATATACATATATACATACATATATACACACACACATGCATTCACATACATTTGTCTCATTTACTCTGACAGGGTGAGACAGCTGATAGAGAAACTAGTGTGCAATTAAGCACTTGATCGCTGAAGGTGATTAAAGTGCTTTTACAAGCTCAGGTTATATAGTTACATCACATACATACATTGTATAATTGATACATTACATGGTTAATCTTGGGTACAGGTCCAATATATCATCAAGTGTTCCAGTACTCCTATAGTAATTACACAGTTCAGCATACCTAAGCCCAGGAGGGCGAAAGTCAGTCAATATGGGACATTCTACAATATAATGTTCAAGAGAGTGAATGTTTTCTCTTTCACAAAGTTGACACATTGTGTACTCGACATTTGGGTTTTGAGAAAGCTGCCAGATACGTCTATATCCCAGGCGTATCCTGGCCACTATAACATCACATTGCCGGATTCTTGGACTATTACTCCCATATGTGAATGTCTCCTCACGATATCTATCATAATATTTAATGCTACAAATTTCTGATCTTTGTGAATTTGTTAGGTCGGTGAGATCTTCATTAGATATTTGTTTAAGTATCTCTTTGTCACTGCTTATGAAACACCCATATCAATTTCTACCACTGGTTTTCTACAGGCTGTCTTTGCAAGCATATCAACAGTGTCATGCCTTGAGATGCCAACATGTGATGGTATCCATAGGAATTTAATTTCAAATCTGTTTTCTTTAGCAGCTAAAACATTCATTCAAATATCACTGACTATTTTCTGGGTGTCACTACTATGAGCGTTCAATGTCAGGAGTGCACATTGCGAGTCACAGTATACAAGTCCATTGCCTTTGTCTTTTAAAAATTCAGTGGCAAGGTATATGCCTGCAAGTTTGGTTTGAGTTGTACTTGCCCAGTTATTGACGCGCTTTATTGCTGTGTGTACGAGAGAAGATTGTTCAAATATATTGCATGCACATCCGGTACATCGTCCACCTTTTTCTACAGAGCCGTCGGTATAGCACTGACACAAATCGTTACCCATACTCTGAGAAGTATGGGTACTGAGTACTTTTATCACTATGGTTACTGAGTACTAATATCACGGAGTACTTTCAGTGATGCTTTTCAGTGTTAACTGTTTTAATAATGTAGAGTGCACACTATCTTTCTTGGGCGCATTTACAAAATCAACTGATAGATCCCAGTTATCACATGGAGTAATTGGTTGATTAATCATTAATTGATTTGGGTACATATTTAATATTTTTATGCAGTTGGCTACCTTGTAGAACCAAAATATATAATCAGATTTCGTTTTTCGTCTATAGACCTCAGGTGAATGCAGCATATTAGAAAGTTTAGCTTGAAACTTCATGTGTTGTCTAGATCTACTCAATGCCTTCACGTCGAAAACTGTGCTAATAGACAAAATTCTCTCACTTATGTTAGGTAATTTTAACTCTGCTCTCATATTAACTATTCACATGGACTTTGGAGCCCCAAGGATGAGACGCATAGCTTCATTTTGCAAGGTTTCAAGAGATTTAGTCTCTTTATCAGTATACAGTGTGAGATGTAGAGCATTGTAGTCAATCACAGAGCGTATAAATGATACATAAAACATTCTAGCAAGTCTCACGTTAATTCCATGATTGACACCAACAAAGACCGCCAGGGGTTTTAATCTCTCCCACAGTATCCTCTTGAGAGGAGAAAGGTACCCAGAATTAGGTTGGTAGAAGACAATATGTGCAAGCGTAAGTGAAAGCCCGACAAGGCTCTCCCGAGAGCTGCATATCCACGTCTTAGAGGAGGCTGAGGGTCCATACAAATGCAACCAGAGGTGGTACCTATATATATATATATATATATATATATATATATATATATATATATATATATATATATATATATATATATATATATATATATATATATATATTATTATATTTTGGAAGCAGTCTTTCCTGTAGACATATATTATTAAATATGACCGAAAAAGTAAGATTAATAATTCTAACACGAATTTTCTCAATCTTTCGTACATTTCTTTTCACTGTTGGAGGTAATTAAAAAATCAATTCTCCAAAATTCATTTTTATTTCTGGTCTGACGCGACACTTGAGCGCGTTTCGTAAAACTTATTACATTTTCAAAGACTTTACACATACACAACTGAATAGAACTTACATATCTCCGATTTGTTTATATCTACATTTGAGTGAGGTGGATGGGGTGAGGTGGTATTTAATAGGGTATTAATTTCATCAACACAAGACAGAACACGAAACAATGGGTATTGAAATGGAAGTGATTGTAGAAAGCCTATTGATCCATATTTCTTGATGCTTCTATATTGGAGCGGAGTCTTGAGGTGGGTAGAATATAGTTGTGTATTAATTGGTTGTTGATTGCTGGTGTTGACTTCTTAATGTGCAGTGCCTCGCAAACGTCAAGCCGTCTGCTATCGCTGTATCTATCGATGATTTCTGTGTTGTTTACTAGGATTTCTCTGTCGATGGTTTGGTTGTGGGAAGAGATTATATGTTCCTTAATGGAGCCCTGTTGCTTATGCATCGTTTAAACGCCTAGAAAGAGATGTTGTTGTCTTGCCTATATACTGGGTTTTTTGGAGCTTACAGTCCCCAAGTGGGCATTTGAAGGCATAGACGACGTTGATCTCTTTTAAAGCGTTCTGCTTTGTGTCTGGAGAGTTTCTCATGAGTAGGCTGGCCGTTTTTCTGGTTTTATAGTAAATCGTCAGTTGTATCCTCTGATTTTTGTCTGTAGGGATAACGTTTCTATTAACAATATCTTTCAGGACCCTTTCCTCCGTTTTATGAGCTGTGGAAAAGAAGTTCCTGTAAAATAGTCTAATAGGGGGTATAGGTGTTGTGTTAGTTGTCTCTTCAGAGGTTGCATGGCGTTTCACTTTCCTTCTTATGATGTCTTCGACGAAACCATTGGAGAAGCTGTTGTTGACTAGGACCTGCCTTACCCTACAGAGTTCTTCGTCGACTTGCTTCCATTCTGAGCTGTGGCTGAGAGCACGGTCGACATATGCGTTAACAACACTCCTCTTGTACCTGTCTGGGCAGTCGCTGTTGGCATTTAGGCACATTCCTATGCTCGTTTCCTTAGTGTAGACTGCAGTGTGGAAACCTCCGCTCTTTTCCATGACTGTTACATCTAGAAAGGGCCCTTTCCGTTTTCCGTTGGATCTCTAACAATCAACGGGTCACTAACAATCAGCGGGTCACTAACACTCAGTGGGTCATTAACAACCAGTGGGTCACTAACAATCAACGGGTCACAATCAGCGTGTCACTAACAATCAGTGGGTCACTAATAATATGCGAGTCACTAACAATCAACGGATCACTAACAATCAATAGGTCACTAGCAATCAATAAGTCACTAACAATCAATGGGTCATTAACAATCAGCGGGTCACTTACAATCAAAGGGTCACTAACAATCAACCGGTCACTAACAGTCAGCGGGTCACTAACAATCAGCAGGTCACTAACAGTCAGTGGGTCACTAACAATCAGTGGGTCATTATACTAATCAGCGAGTCACTGTAATAATCAGCGGGTCACTGTAATAATCAGCGGGTCACTGTAACAATCAGCGGGTCACTGTAACAATCAGCGGGTCACTGTAACAATCAGTGGGTCACTTTAGCCATATGGGGATGAGTGAGATGAACGCTTCATCTCACAAAGCGTGAGATGAATCGAGAGAATCGATTCAACGTGTGAATCGTTGCCTTAGCTTCCCCTGCGGTCGGCCATATTACCATTAGTGCGCGCACACACACACATATATATATGCTCTTCCTGACCATTACTTACACCCTCTACGGCTGCGTCCCTCAGGTGAGCATGCTGGTGGCTCTGATGGAGTCCCTAACCGCCGCCGTGGCCGCTGGGGGAGCCACAACACCGGTCCTGATCCACAGCGCGACCTACCAGGGCGGGATAGCCTCCCTCAGCACCGGGGCCTTCTCCCTCGACGACTCCCTGGCCGCCAATGCCCGCTTCGCCGTCTACTACTACGACCTCAACCACGTCGGCAACACCATTCACCTGACCGCGCCTTCGGGAGCCACCTTCGCCTCCGTCAACATGCAGGAGGAGGACGGAGATGTCAACATGATCTCCGTAAATCTCCACAATGCCGAGGTGTGCTGGGTTTGAAGGGGAAATACGACTTGTATACTTAATAGAGAATGTATGATCGAGAACTTTGATGTGAAATGTTTTATTAGAGGGTAATGTGTGTGTTATGTTTCAGCGAGGTGTTTGGAGGTATAAGGTGGAGAACCGCGCAGACTCCCACCAGGCTCTGCATATCCAAGTGACGTCACTGCCCAGCTCTACCAATGATGTGTCTGTGAGAGTTTGGACCAATCAGGACAGTGATGATGTCATCTCTGCTAAAGAAACTCTGCCAATCATTATCTACGGAGAAGTTAAGGTAAGAATATTTTAATGTCTATTTTGGCAACACGGCAATACAAAATAAGTACATTCATTCAATATTGCTTCAGTGTAATTCGTAAATTTTAGTGACGTACAGGACAGGATGATAGTATATAAAATAAAATGTGTCTGTCGGTCTGTCCGTCTGTGTGTCTTTCTATTTGCTTGTACGATTTGGAGGCCAGACGCTTGGGGGTAATCTCATCATGTTTGCAGGGTGACTGGTCTGTGTTCGGGGATGGTCATAGGTGAGGCGGGGTCGACCTCCATCCTCTGTCCCACCTCCACTGTGTATGAAATAGCAAATTAAACTATTCTCCAATTTCGCTACATACTAGAATCCATCCTCACTTAGATTCGCAAAACATACGGTTTTCAATATGATTAAATGTTAGGGGTGTCTTGTATAGTTTATTTACTGAAAAAGACAGAATATATGGAGGACGGTTACAGTGATGAATCGAAAGTGGTGAAGAGCAGAGAAGGTAGTGAAGGGAGGGGAGGGGGGAGGGGGGGAGAAGCTGGTCAGTGAGAAAGGTACGGAAGAATAGGAAACGTGGTGAAATGGAAAGGATGACGGTGAAGGTTACAGATGGTGATGAAGGGTCGGGAAGATGGTGAAGGAAAGGGCAAGTGGTGAAGAGTAGGGAGGATGGAGGAGAGCAAAGCTCGTGAAGAGAATGGTAGGGAATGAAGGAAAATGAAGGTATGGAAGGTGGTGAAGGAGAAGGAAGGTGGTAAAGCGTAAGGAAGGCAGTCAAGGAGAGGGAAGGTAGTGAATTGTAGGGAAAGTGGTGAACGGAAGGGAAGGTGATAATAAGTTGGAAAAAATGAGAAGATGAAGGGTACGGAAGGGTAAGGAAAATGATAAAAGGCTATGGAAGGGGGTGAAGGGATGGTAAGATGGTGAGGGTAAGGAAAAGGAATGGGGTGATTGTGAGGGAAGGTAGTGATGATGATGGATGTTGATAAGAGAGGGAGTGAATTATCGGGGAAAAGCACCAGGCCATTACGACAGTATAGCACTGAGAAGAGGTCAGGATAAGGATTTCGGATGGGACGGGGCATGGAATTGCGCCCAACCATTTGGACGGTTGGGGGGTTGAATACCGACCTGCATGAAGCCACACCGTCGCTCTACTGTCCAGCCCAAGTGGTTGGGCACCATTCCTATGCCCCGTCCCATCCCAAATCCTAATCCTGACCCCGTATTAAGTGCTATATAGCCGTCATAGATATTGATAAGGAATCTAACGAAACCTGGGTAGTGAAGATGGTTAGAGTGACGAGGAAGAACGTGTGTCGCGTAGATGGTCTAACGTTGAAGGGTGTGTTTAGTTAAGACACTAACAGTGAAGATAGGCATGTGTATTGTAGATGGTTTGAGAGATGAAGGCAGCGAGCAGGGAAGATGCAGCCTCCGTCGCCAGACAAACGCCGGGAATCACCTCCAGATATATATATATAATGTTCTTGTAGTGACCATTGACAAGGATGTTGAACTGTATTACAAGCATGACGTAACTGTTGCCAGATGGGTGGAGCGGCAGTGATGGACGCGGCGGTGATGGCAACGCTGCAGCGGCTGGGCACCAACGCCACGGGGGGCACGTACCCACCAGTCAAGGTGCCCCTCCTCGACCTTGGCACCGGAGGTCAGTAATAACTCATCTTTAAAGGCTTAAGTAACTTTGTAATTGGCGCACATGACTCGGAGCTTCGCTCTACCAGCGGACCTGTATAAATGTTCTCAAAATATTGAGTAAAAAATAAACAAAATTGTAAAATAACAGAAGGAAAACTCGTTTAAATTAAAATAAAACCACACATAAGAATTAAAGTCTAACATAAAGCTGCTGTATTAAATGTTTAGTTAAACATAGTATCATCGACACATTGTCGGTTAGGATTTGCTAGACGGGAATGGAACTATCAAGGGAAAGCACCAAGCCATTAAGACTATATTGCACTTGGAAGGGGTCAGGATAAGGATTTGGAATGAGACAGAGGGATGAAATGGTGTCTTACCACTTGGACGGTCGGCGATTGAACGCCGACCTGCATGAGGCGAGACCGTCGCTTTACCGTCCACCCCAAGGGGTTGGGTAGGACTTGCTGGAGAAGATGGCCGTCGATGGGTAAGGACGTATTCCAGAGACCGCATCATTACCCATGCGTACAGCACTTACCTGACTAAATTGTCCTTAAGATATCTTAAAACTTTCTACTGTCCTTCGTCATTAACGTTCATCAGACCATCCTTAAAACTCTTGGCGGCTTCAGAGTTCTGACATCTGGTTCCGCTCTCCATCTGCGACCTCCTCATCCACCCTCCTCCTGCGACCTCCTCATCCACCTTCCACCTGCGACCTCCTCATCCACCTCTCAGCCTGTCCTGTATCTCTCATCTCCGGTCTCTTAACACGCCTCCTCCACATAAGCTGGTCCTCATTATGTTGACTTCACTTTTTATGAGGCATCAGTTGATTAACTCGACCTCCTGTACACAGTTGTTCACGTAACTGTTGCTTAAAGTCTTTGTGGAAATCATAACTTTCAGTTTGCTGTTGCAATTACATTGTATTATTATGCATTTTTTGTAATAGGTAAAAGCGATACTTTTTTTTTAGGTATATTTTCCATATATTGCATTCAAATGTAAATTTGTGTTTTATATTTAAAAACTTATATACATTTCTAACAATTTAATGAGGTATGTTTATTTTGAGTGTGTGTATGTTGTGTGTGGACTCACCTAGTTGTACTAACTTATTTGTGCTTGCTGGGGTAGAGCTTTGCCTCTATGGTCCCACCTCTCAAACGTAAATCAACTGGTGTACAGATTGCTGAGCCTAATAGGCCCCATCACATCTACATTTGAAACTGTGTACCCATTCAGCCTCCACCACATCACTTCCTAGTGTATTCCATTTATTAACTACCCTGACACTGAAAAAGTTCTTTCTAGCATCTCTGTAGCCCATTTGGGTACTCAGCTTCCATCTGTATCCCCTTGTGCGTGTACCACCCATATTAAATAATCCATCCGTGTCTATCCTGTCAATTTCCTTGAGAATCTTATATGTGGTGATCATGTCTCCACGAGCTCTTATGTCTTCCAGTGACGTGAGGTGCAACTCCCTCAGCTCTTCCTCGTAACTCATGTCTCTTAGTTCTGGGATTAGCCAAGTGGTATGCCTCTGAACTTTTTTCAGTTTCGTCTTGTGTTTTACAAGATACGGGCTCCATGCTGGGGCCGCATACTCCAGGATTGGCCTTACATACGTAGTATACAAGGTTCTAATAGATTCCTTACACAAGTTCCTGAAGGCAGTTCTGATGTTAACGAGCCTCGCATACGCCGCCGATGTTATTCAATTGACGTGGGTTTCAGGGGATAGGTTTGGCGAGATATCAACTCCTAGATCAATATGTGTGTGTGTGTGTGTGTGTGTGTGTGTGTTTGTGTGTGTGTACTCACCTAATGGTGCTTGTGGGGGTTGAGCTCTGGCACTTTGGACCCGCCTCTGAACCATAAATCAACAAGTGTACAGGTTCCTGAGCCCATTGGGCTCTATCATATCTACACTTGAAACTGTGCATGGAGTCAGCCTCCACCACATTACTTCCTAATGCATTCCATTTGTCAACCACTCTGACACTAAAAAAGTTCTCTCTAATATCTCTGTGGCTAATTTTGGCACTCAATTTCCACCTGTGTCTCCTAGTGCGTGTGCCCCTTGTGTTAACTAGCCTGTCTTTATCTACCCTATCAATTCCCTTCAGAATCTTGAATGTGGTGATCATGTCCCCCCTAACTCTTCTGTCTTCCAGCGAAGTGAGGTTTAATTACCGTAGCCTCTCCTCGTAGCTCATACCTCTCAGCTCGGGTACTAGTCTGGGGGCAAACCTTTGAACCTTTCCCAGTTTGGTCTTATCCTTCACTAGATATGGACACCATGCTGGGGCTGCATACTCCAGGACTGGCCTGACATATGCGGTACACAAAGTTCTGAATGATTTCTTACACAAGTTTCAGAATGCCGTTCCTATGTTGGCCAGCCTGGCATATGCCACTGATGTTATCCTCTTGATATGGGCTGCAGGGAACAGGTCAGAAGTGATGTCAACCCTCAAGTCTTTTTCTCTTTCTGACTCATGAAAAATTTAATCTCCTAGATGATACCTAGTATCTGGCTCCATGCACCCTACACCTATCTTCATTACATTACATTTGCTTGGGTTAAACTCTAACAACCATTTGTTCGACCATTTCTTCAGCTTGTCTAGGTCTTCTTGAAGCCTCAAGCAGTCCTCCTCTATCTTAATCCTTCTCATAATTTTGGCATCGTCAGCAAACATTGAGAGAAATGAATCGATACCCTCCGGGAGATCATTTACATATATCAGAAACAAGATAGGACCGAGTACAGAGCCCTGTGGGACTCCACTGGTGACTTCACGCCAATCTGAGGTCTCACCCCTCACTGTAACTCTCTGCTTCCTATTGCTTAGGTACTCCCTTATCCACTGGAGCAACTTACCAGCTTCACCTGGCTGTCTCTCCAGCTTATGTACCAGCCTCTTATGCGGTACTGTGTCAAAGGCTTTTCGACAATCCAAGAAAAGGCAGTCCGCCAAGCCTTCTCTTTCTTGCTTAATCTTTGTCACCTGGTCATAGAATTCTATTAATTAAGCCAATCAGGCAAGATTTACCCTCCTTGAATCCATGTTGGCGATTTGTCACGAAGTCTCTTCTCTCCAGATGTGTTACCAGTTTTTTTTCGCGATCTTCTCCATCACCTTGAATGGTATACAAGTCAAGGACACTATCCTGTAGTTCAGTGCCTCTTGCCTGCCGCCCTTTTTGTATATTGGGACTACATTCGCCTTCTTCCATATTTCTGGCAGGTCTCTCGTCTCTAGTGACCTCCAATACACTATGGAGAGTGGCAAGCAAAGTGCCTCTGCACTCTCTTTCAGTACCCATGGTGAGATCCTGTTTGGACCAACAGCCTTTCTAACATCCAGATCCAGCAGGTGTCTCTTGACCTCCTCACTAGTAATTTCGAACCCTTCCAAGGCCGCCTGGTTTTATTCCCTTTCTCCTAGCACAGTGACCTCACCTTGTTCTATTGTGAAGACCTCCTGGAACCTCTTGTTGAGTTCTTCACACACCTCTTTGGCATTCTCTGTATACCTGTTCTCGCCTGTTCTAAGTTTCTTTACCTGTTCTTTCACTGTTATTTTCCTCCTGATGTGACTATGGAGTAGCTTTGGTTCGATCTTGGCTTTGTTTTCTATATCATTTTCATAATTTTTCTCTGCTTCTCTTCTCACCCTAACATACTCATTCCTGGTTCTCTGGTATCTCTCCCTGCTTTCTGGTGTTCTGTTATTCCGGAAGTTCCTCCACGCCCTTTTGTTCAGTCCCTTTGCTTCCGTACATGCCTTATTATACCATGGATTCTTCTTTTGCTTCTCGGATTTTTATCTTTGGGAGGGATGAACCTGTTTACTGCCTCCTGACACTTTTGGGTGTCATAGTCCATCATATCTTGTACAGACTTATCTCTGAGGTCTGTGTCCTAAGGTCTTAGGAAACGAGAACAGGTACACAGAGAAACGTCTCATCTCCTCATAGTTTCCCTTTCGGTATGCCAGCCTTTTGTTTCGTAGTTCTTTTTGGGGGAGATAATTCCTAGCTCTACCAGGTACTCAAAGTTTAATTAATACACTGTGGTCACTCATTCCCAAGGGTTCATTCATCTTAACTTCCCTTATACTCCACTCATTTAGGGTAAATATCAGATCGAGCATGGCTGGTTAATCTTCTCCTGTGTGGGTGTGTGTGAGTGTGTGTGAGTGTACGCACCTAGTTTCCTCCTTCCAATTCCTATATAGTCGTAATGGCTTGGCGGTTTCCCCTGATAATTCCTTCCTGCCTTCACCCCTCACTGTAACTCTTTACTTCCTATTGCTTAGGTACACCCTTATCCACTGGAGCGCCCTACCAATAACTAATGTCTTTTTCTCCAACTTATGTACCATCCTCTTATGAGGTACTGTGTCAAATGCTTTCCGAATGTCCACGAAAATGCTGTCTGCCCACCCTTCTCATTTTTGCTTAATCTTTGTCACCTGGTTTTATAAATCTATTAAACCTATGAGGCAAGATTTGCCATCCCCTAAAACCATGTAGATTGTGTGTCACGAAGTTCATTCTCTCCAGATGTGTACTAGTTTTTTCTCATCATCTTCTCCATCACCTTGCATTGCGTAAAAATTAGGGGCATTAGCCTGTAGTTCAGTGCTTCTTGTCTGTGGCCCTTATTGTTTACTGGGGGAATATTAGCTATATTCCATGTTTCTGTCAGGTCTCCCTTCTCTAATGACTTACTATACAACATGGAGAGTGACAAGCAAAGAGCTTCTGCACACACTTTAAATATCCAAGTTGAGATTCCGTCCGGTCTAACGGCCTTTCTCACGTCCAGATCCAGCAGATGCCTCTTAATGCAATTTCTGGTAATTTCAAACCCTTTCAAGGATTCATGGTTTACCGCCACCTCTCCTAGTACTGGGACTGCACTTCATTCTATTGTGAAGGCCTTCTGGAATCTCATGTTGAGTTCTTCTCACACCTCTTTGTCAT